CCAAAAGCCCATCGCATTGATCTATTGGCATTGGGCTAGAATATGTTCATTTCATCCAAAGTTGTTTCTTATGGGAGTCGAGCATACCAACAGTAGATATGCTAGTAGAGGGGTCTCCAATCCATGGAGAATGAATTTTCATTACTGGGCTGGCCCAGGCCCAAATGGGTAACGTCAACCCGACTTTTTTCCTCTTCCATCGAGTGGTCAGTGGTCCCATTGCAAGATTTCTTCTCGATCACAAAAAGGGCTTGGGACTAGAATCCAAATATTTTATTAGCAATGTTGCTTGAATATGATTTATTAATATAATTTGTTAATCGAATTATTTATAATAATTGAATTGATAGTAAATTATAATGTTTGTTAGGACATGCTGACAATCCAATGATTGTAATAAAATTGTATCAATAAATTAAATTCAAATAATATTATTGATCTTTTACAATGATCTCCCATGAATCAACAAAATTGAAGCTACCAATCAGCTAGGTTTCTTGTTGTTAGCATACTTGGAGACTTTTGGGTGTAGAAGAGATACAGTGATGCCACCTTCTAATTTTCTTCACTAGAGGTAGAGGAGAGATAAACCTACTCGGCCATCAATGTTGAGTGGTAGTGACATATCAGTGCTCCGGTTTCGGTGCCTCAATATGTTAGATTTCACGAATCACGACTAAGAAAATTCTGTTTTGATCAATTTGATCTAATTGAAATTTTCTCGATTAAGCTTTTACTCAATTTCATTGCCCAAATGCTGATTTTGATTTGATACAAAAGTCTTTCTACAATTGCTGTTGCTACCGCCATTGCTACTAGTAAGTATTATTAGTATAAATTACATTTATTTAGACTCTGAAAAATCTTTAAAGAGAAAAAAAAAAAAAGATTTGCATGAACCGAGATGTGAATTAGTTGAAACAACATTTTAAGAATGAAATAGGGGCAAGCTACTAGATCTTAGCTCATTTATTATATAGATATATACTCTAATCATAATGCTATGTATCTATGTTCAAGCGAGATGGGGGAACTTGTTGTCACCGTTACTTATGAGATGAATGTCATCGATTAAACTAAGTTTTTAATGATGATATTTTAGTATCGACGTGGATGACTTGCCTATAACAAAATTGAGGAGGAGATTAGTCGATGTGTGTTTTAATTAGTCTTACCATTCTTGCCAGTTGAACCAAAAAAAAAAAAAAAATTTAAGTTGGATTAAGATCTATAACTGCTTTGATTGTGTAGCTGTTAACAACATAGCTAGAGAAATCTACATTCTCAAGCACCAAGTTGTCTTTCAAACTTGTGTGGCTGTAAACAAATCAGGAAATTGAAACGAGGCTGATAATTCTCTACATTACTCGTCACCTCAACACAAAATTAGTGTGAAATTAGTGATAATGAGTTCAACGTATGCTCCGTTTGGTACGATAAAAAAGTGGAAGAATGAAAAATTGAAAGGATGAAAAGTTGGAGGGATAAATAAAATATTATGTTTGGTAAGCAAGGAAAGTAGGAAGGATGAAAAAATTGATGAATTAATTTTCTTTCCAACTCACCAAAATCAATCCCTCCAAACTCGGAAGGAAAGTTAATGAAAAATTAATTATTTGTGTTGAGATGTATCTTATCTTTCTATATATCTTATGTATACATTAATTTCATATAAAAATACAATGGTAAAATATGTATATATATTTTTAAAATTTTTTTAAAAAAAAAATTTTAAAAAAAAATTAAAAATTAAAAAATAAAAAAATTTAAATTAAAAAAAATATTTTTTTCATCTTAATTAAGGGTGAAAATTTTTGATTCAACACGATGACACGACTCGAACTCGATACGAAAATAAACATGTCAACTCATAACTCGACACGATACAGTTAGTTAAATGAGTTAAGTTAAATTTGACTAATATTCGACACAAACCCGTGATGACTCAACATGAATTTGACACAACACGACTCGACTCGATTGTTACTCTTAAAATTAGTCAGCACAAAAAAAAAAATAGTTATTTTTATTTTCCATCCATCCAACCAAACACAAAGGAAGGAAAATGTATATTTCTTACTTTCCATCATTGAAGGATAAAGAGTGTATCCCTTCTACTTTCCATTCTTTCTATTTTTCATCCTCCCTATCAAATGATTCTTTCTATTTTCCATCATCCTTATCAAACTGAGCATTAGTAACTTCAAGTCACAACTAGATTTGCAGGACTAGATATTTTTAATAAATAGGTTTACACTGATTCGGCCATGTATGAACTCAATAAGACTCAGACCTATAAATGAAAATAAATAAGTTGTATATAGATTGAGTACGATATGAGTAAGGCACATTCTGAACCCCATGACACACATTATAATCAGCCCAAGGCAGAAGGTTACGTCATGCCAAGTTATCCTCTTGAATTTATGATGGAGTATAATATTCTTTAACCTTCCGACGAAGGTAGGATTTGTGTTCAATCAATCTAGCCTTACGACCAGTCCAACCCTGAAAAATAAATGTGAGCCCAGCCCAGTAGTATACAACCTCAGCCATCGATTTCAAGAAGAGTTTTTATGGAGGCCTAATAGAATTTCAAAAAAAAAAAAAAAACCTTTACTCTTCAATTTACTTTTGCATTAGGTCATTGTTGAAAAGTTAAAGTAATAGACATAAATAATGGCCTTTAAAATTGCAAAAATAACGACAGTGACATCTCGTAATTGAAACATCTTTTCTAAAAAGTTACGTCATCTTAATGTATATTTTTTTCCATAAACACAGGTACACTAAAAAAAAATTCTTGCTCTTAATTAACGTAACCATTAGTTGGTGGTTCACAAGTACATTAAAAACACATTTACAAATAGGGGTAGAATTTAGTGTATCTTTAGAGCAGATACATTGATTGTACAAGAATGATTCTTTACCATCTTCTTTTCATACCAAATATTATGGTAAGAAATATCTAAACCATAGTATTTCTTGAAATCCTTAACCACTTCAATCGGCTTAATTGATGGTTTATCCTTGATTTGGTCAACCAAAATAGATGAGACAATAGTAGACCGCATCATTGCACCATTCTGCTCACGATAAACACTCTACATGAATGAACATTTTTTAATTTTTTAATATAGAAAAAACCATTCGCCTGACACACTGAAACATGAACACACCAATTGCAATCATCAGTTCTCTTTTTAAAACACTCTACAGTTACCCTTATTTTCTCATTCTTAACATAAACAACACCAAAATCGAGCTCAATCTCATATTTACACAGCTTGTCTGAAAAATCAACTGCGCCACCCTCAAATTTCTATCCCACATGACTAATATAATTCTTCCATGAATCAGATAGGTATGACCCCTTTACTGTAGTACCAAATTTGCCCAAAAATTCACTATCATTTGAAGATATCGTCCAATTTATAGAACACGACAAATCTACAATACTTTCATCGCTCGCTTGACTCGACTGAACATTATTATGTAACACATATAGACCAACAAATTTTGAAATTGCCAACGGTTGAGACAACATCATAAGTCTAAAATCCTTATCAGATTCAACCAAACATCCGCGGTTATCATCTATACAGTATCTTACGCTAAAAACAAAGCCTTTTGAATCTTCAAATCTAGAAGTTATCTGATTATAAAGATCCTCATACGTACTACAATCGTTGATAGCAACAACAAAAGTGATTGAATCAAACGTATACCTCGCAATCATAATCTCTTTCATCCTCTAAAAAACAGAAATAGTGTTCAAACTGTCAAAACACATACAAATGAACAACATGTACGTAAATAGAGAACTAAAATTTTATTACAGGAGTTACGTATCTATTCTCAGCAAAACTAAAAATTGAATATGAAAGGTAATCACGTTTACAAACATTCATGATTATACACAAAAAAAATGGATTAACAAGCACAACATGTACGCAATTAATATATATGTGTTTACATAGGTACAAAACATATCATATACGATGAACAACATACACGATTATTCAGGTACATTATATACATATATATCAATGGACCTTTGATCTAATGATACTCTTTACTCATAAAAGTTTTACATTCTTGAGGTCAATAGTTCAAGTTTTCCTCCATAAAAAAAAAAAATAAAAAAAATAAAGTATATATATATATCAACGAAAAAGGTATATCAGTATTTAATTGAGAAGAAATACATATACACAAGTACATAAAAATCAAACATAATTCAAAATTACGTAAATCATAACGAACATATACCTAAACCTATCAACGAATATGTAAAACTTAATTGTTGCGATTTAATTTGTGTACCTATCAAATCAACGCTTAAGATAAACGACCGACATATTCCAAATTACTTGATTTACGAATTTGAAATTCAAAACTAATACACAACACCACAAAATCCTCAAAAATAAACGCAAAAAAAAAAAAAGAAGAAAACTAATTGTATTTTAGGTTGAAATCATGTGATGAGAAAAAAATGGATAATAAAAATACACTAATTGTCCAGCTTGTATACATTTGTGCCCACACAGGAACCACAAAATATGAAAGAATTTTTTATATATTAAAAATTCGATACGGCTAAAATTAGTTTACACACCAAAAGAGGATGTACCCTAATTAACTGTTTCAAGAACCCTCTAAGAGCCGGTGGATCTCTCTATTCCTATCTCTAAAGCAAATGAAAGGCTTCGTCATTCTGCCGAACTACTCTCTTTCTCTCTCTCCAAGTTTTGGGTATAATTAGACCTTAGGGTTTTTCTGTGTTATCTCATTTTCATATATGAATAGGTCTTAGTGTTTTGGCATTCAATTAGTTACCATCTTGTTTGGGAGATTTATTAATTTCGATTCCCCTTTCTGTGGTTTCTTCAATTTACTCAAGATTTATTCCATAAATGTTTGCGATCGGAGAGATGCATTTTTTCTGTATTAGATGCATATTAAATGGAGCTTCGCTATTTGGTCGTCAAAATTGATAAGTTTCTGATGGACTTGTTCCCTTGAAGCTAAAGGGATTGTGCTGCTTTTTTCTTTTCTCGCTTTACTTCGAACAATCTTCTTTTGTGTTTGGAGAACATTGAGAGGCAGCTATTCTTCTCTGTGGTTTCGTTTGGTTGCTCTATTAAAAATAGATATATTAGGTAAATTAATTTAGTTTAATACAATACAAATGGACAAAAGATAAAATTAAATAAAATATTAAAAACATACATAATTTTATCTAGTATTTGACAATATACAACATAAATGTTGAATAGTAATTATTTAATCCAATCAGTTATTTGATTAGAGAATTATTTTATCGTATTAATGTTAAATTAACAAAAATACCCTCTATCAATATTTGTTACATTGATGACAGTTTAATTTTATTAATTAGAGGGTTATAATAATAAATGTGTAGAATAATTAGTGGAGTAAAGGAGTGGTGAGACATGTTAAAATATAATTGGTTAAAATCATGTGTGATAATTAATTAATTAAAAATTATAAGAAAAAATTAAAGTGGGAGAGAAGGCTTCTCTCAAGTCATTTCTCACCTAATTTGATTATTTTTTTTATATATAATAAATCTTCAGATGTTTTTTTGTCATTCAAAACAGTTATTCATAGGCTTTTTTATAAGTAAGAAATTTATATGTACTACATGAAACCTGTAAAATTACATGATTTTTTATTTGGCATTTTTTCTATTTTTGCCAATTAAGGTACACAAGTGTGGGTAGGCTTTATAATGGAAGATCATGGTGTTAATAGATATTTACCATGAGAGTAGTTGGGGGCGTTTTGAGGGAAGTAATTTGTTATCTAATGACAAGAAATTAGGACAATCAATTTTAATATTTATTCTGATACTTCATTTACAACAATGCTGATGCAAGTAANGCGTTTTGAGGGAAGTAATTTGTTATCTAATGACAAGAAATTAGGATAATCAATTTTAATATTTATTCTGATACTTCATTTACAACAATGCTGATGCAAGTAAAGAATCTGGTTGGAAAGAGTTTTATAGTATATATCAGAGCTTAATGGAGATTTAAATATAATTTGTGNAAAGAATCTGGTTGGAAAGAGTTTTATAGTATATATCAGAGCTTAATGGAGATTTAAATATAATTTGTGTATTGATGATAAGTCCTCGATCACTTTTTCCTTGCAGGAACCATATTCCTCAGAATCAGAAAAGAAGAGTTTGACTTAACCATGATTAAATTAGTAATTATTCATGCTTGAAGGAATAAAAGCGTCAATTAAAAAGTTGAATCCAATTAAATTTCCAACCCAAACAAGTGTAGGAAAATCTTCAATTAATAGCAATTATTCAACTTGAATCAATATAGAAATCAAAACCACCCAATTTAATAGAACCATTCGATAATCCCATAGATGTAAAATCAAATGAATATAGAAAATCTCTAAATGAGATCACCTTGTTGTCGAACCACAAATGCAAAATTCTAATAAATCTTCAGCCACATTCCAATATAATTACATTAGCAGAGCCCTGTGTGATGCACAATATTTTTAGTTTCTTCCATTACAATCGTATCATCCGAACCGCCATTGTACTCCCCAATTGCTACCCCCCATCCCACGCTGATCCTGACCACAGTATTTTTGTAAAATTATTCATTTATGTTAGATTAAGGAGGATAAAATATTGACCAAAAAAAGGAGGATGAAACAAAGTCGTTTTGTATGAGCAATTGCCAACTACATAAGCCACATGAAATGATATAATTTGATGAGATTAATGCTTTGTTATTAAATAATTTTAAATTAAAAAAATTAATTTTTTAGTGAGGGAAAGTTTCATAAGTACATTCTTTCCTAAATTGATTACTATAGTATGTAGTAAATATAAATTTAGAGAGACAACATTTGTGTGAGAAAGAGATGGTGATAGGAGCGATAATGAAAGAGAAACTTAGGACAGCTAAGAAATTTTAGGAGTTATCTTATTAATGAGGAATTAAGTTATTCAAAAAGGACCAATGACAATGGGGAGGATTCAAAAAGGACCAATCACAATGGCGAGGATTCAAAAAGGACCAATTAAGTTATCCTATCAATATTCTTTTCCACAGCAACAAATGCAGAATGTAAAGCCCTTATGGACATCTTCAATAGATACTACTATGCTACAGGCCAGTTAATCAACCTGAGCAAATCTGCCGTCACTTTCAGTCACAAATACCCCAATGCATCACCAACAAAACTGGCTCAATGTATCAGAATTTCACTAGTATAAAAGGCAGAGAATTATCTAGGGTTTCCTATGGAGTGGGGAAGATCAAAGAGGCAGACCCTTGCATGGATAAAAGAAAGGATTCTAGCGAAAGTAGCAGGATGGAAAGGAAGATTCTGAATCACGCAGGAAGGGAGGTACTCATCAAAGCTATGGTACAGGCTATACCAGCCTATGCTATATCAATATTCAAATTTCCCAAGACCTTCTGTAAAGAGATAACAACCAGTATAAGGAGATTTTGGTGGAACAAGACTTTAAGAGAAAGAGACATACACTGGATGAGGTGAGACCAATTAACTAAAAGCAAGAGGGAGGGAGGCCTAGGTTTTAGAGACCTTGAAGACTTAGATAAGGCACCACTAGCTAAACAACTATGTTACTATGGAGATTCATACAAAACCCAGAATCACTCTGGGTTAAGGTATTGCAGACTAAGTACTGTCAAGGAAAATCATTGTGAGAGGTTAACACGAAGGCCATCAATTCGTGGACTTGGAAAAGTATCGTACAAGGGAAGGATGTGCTGATGAAGGGGATGTATTTGGAAGGTAGGGAATGACAGTAATATAAGATGATGGGAGGATCAATGGGTGCCAGGCCATCAGCAGATATTTAACAATACTCAANTAGGGAATGACAGTAATATAAGATGATGGGAGGATCAATGGGTGCCAGGCCATCAGCAGATATTTAACAATACTCAAAGCAATCTCTAAAGAGTTCAAGAACCGATCTAGCAGCCTAGCAAAAGATGGAACGCTGAGATCATTCAAAATACTTTCCCTCCAGAAATATTTGCACAAATCTTTGAAATACCATTGGGAG